GAAAATGTTATCTATAAGAAACTAAGGACAGAGAGGTTAAAAATTAAAAGAAGAGGAAGACATACAAGTAGAATCAAAAGGCTAACATGTTTACATTAATTACCAGGCAAAACAGCCTTCAAAACAATATATCAGCCTTCAAAACAATATATCTTAAGAGAGAGACTACAAAAGAATCTAAGTAATTGATCACGAAAACGTAACAATACTATATGTGTATGTACCCAAAACAAGATCTATAAAATATACAAAGCAAAAACTAATAAAATTAAAAGAACAAATAGGAATTAGATGACATCAACATCACAATCACCCAATTAGATTTTTTTTGGTGGGGGACAGAGTCTCGCTCTGTCACTCAGGCAATCTCTGCCTCCTAGGTTCAGGTGATTCTCCTGAGTCTCCTGCCTCAGCCTCCCGAGTAGCTGGGATTACAGGTGTCTGCCACCATGACTGGCTAATTTTTTGTATTTTTAGCAGAGATGGGGTTTCACCATGTTGGCCAGGCTGGTCTTGAACTCCTGACCTCAAGTGATCCACCTGCTTTGGCCTCCCAAAGTGCTGGGATTATAGGTGTAAGCCACCACACCTGGCCCCAATTTGATTTTCATGGCATTAAAGGAGCCATACAAACTAACAGAAGAATGTGCACTCTTTTATTATGCACATCAAAGCATTAATAAAGACAGACTTATTGGGGACAAAAAAGATAATGTTAACTAGAGTTAAACTAATTGCATTTTTATCAAATATCTAATATGGTTGTCACAATATAAATCAATAAAACACCTGAAAATACAATAATACTGAAAGTAAAACAATGCATTCTAAATAACTCCTAGGTTGGTGAAGATTTCACAAGGGCAATTAGAGAACACTTGGAAAGGAATTAAAATAAACACAACATAAAAACATTTGTTTTTTCCATGTAGATACTCTGCTAGCACTAGTAAAAGAAAGCCATCAAGAAAATTCACATGCCATGAAGAGCATAAGTAAAACTTCCTTCTGCATCTAGAAACACATTTTAGGACACATTTTAGAAAAGAAGAATACTTACAAACATGAGCAGTCCAGTTTCTTGTTACCAGCTCTATGGCTTATTTATCCAAAGCACTCTCTCACATCTTGAAGTGTGAATGAAAACATAAATCTTCTTTAAATCCATATTTGCATGAGTTTTCGTGGCAACAACACCTATGAAGGGTACAGGAAGCACATGCCCCCTTAATTATGGAGGCAGGCATTGGTCAACAATCATGAAGCAATGTTGTTTTGTATAATACACGTTGTGCCTTTAACTGAATTAATAACATTTAAAATAGAAATCATTTTCACTTCACTCGGAAAAAAACTTCAGTGTAAAATTCTCTCATTTCAATCTCAGCAAACATGCAGAATATCAATCCATCTCAAAAAAAGCTCACACCTGTAATCCTAGCACTGTGGGAGGTGGAGGCAGAAGAATCACTTGAAGCCAGGAGTTCAAGGTCACCCTTGGCAACAAAAAGAGACACTGTCTGTACAAAATTTTTTTTGGAAAATTTATCCAGGCATAGTGGCCTGTACCTGTAGTTCCAGCTATGCAGAAGGCTCAGGAGGGAGCACAGCTTGGACCCAGGAGTTCGAGACTGTAGTAAGCTGTAATTGTACCACTGCACTCCAATCGGGGTGATGGAGTGAGACCCTGTCTGAAAAAAGAAGAAAACAAAACAAAACAAAAAAATGGATGGTGACTTTGGCTAACAGCAGGCAACAGAGATTGCCATAGACCCCTGGCCTAAAAGACATTGCTTCTCATGGGTGCTCCCTGACAGTTTGTATACCTTCTTTCTCACAATAGATCTGACAAGAACATCTACCTCATGTATTGGAGCTATCAAAGTGGCATGCACTGGACCAATGCAAAATTACCAGAGAACAAAATTTCTGCAAAAACATGCAGCACCTCCAGGACGCCAGGCAGGAATAGTGGCAATTCAACTGGAGTGAAGAAGCCTGACTCAAATTACTTAACTGTTTACCACCATTTAGCCAAAGTGCACTTCACAGGTACCCTGGGGAGTCCAAAGGATAACAGTAAAGTTGCATGCAGAAAACTGCAAAATAACTATCTTGAAGTATGTCGGCACTTCTGCTTTTCCCTTTCATCATCACAATCAGCAAATAGAAGGTATCAGAGGAAAACTTTTACATGCACCTATGTTTCTGCGAGTACCATCATCACTCCTGGAACAGAAGAACCTCGAAGGCAAATACAAATCCTACTGAAACTGCCACTACTACAGTGGTGAAAAGCCGAAGACCTTCACTAGTGCTCAAACTGTGTACTCTGAGGAACCAAAACATTATGTATCACAACATGTTATTTCTAGATGTCACTCCAAACTGACTAACCTTGTCATTAAAACAAACAGAACACCAACTAAAAATCAGGGAGGCTTTGATGTACTGGTAGTCATGTATATTTTTTTTTTTTTTTTTTTTTTTGGAGACAGAGTCTCGCTCTGTCACCCAGGCTGGAGTGCAGCGTGCAATCTCAGCTCATCTGCCTCCTAGGTTCAAGCAATTCTCCTGCCTCAGCCTCCTGAGTAGCTGGGACTACAGGTGTGTGCAGCCACACCTGGCTAATTTTTATAGTTTTAGTAGAGATGGGGTTTCTCATGTTGGCTAGGATGTCTTGATCTCCTGACCTCATGATTCACCTGCCTTGGCCTCCCAAAGTGCTGAGATTACAGGAATGAGCCACCACACCCAGTTGGCAATCACGGATTTTACATGAAAAATTAAATCTCATATTTTGCTCACTGAAATGTGCTGAACACAACTGATAAATCAAACCATCACAAGAGTGCGTGTGAGATAGCTATGGAGGTGAAAACAAGAATTGTATCTCCCAGAATACCTGCACACAAACAAGTATGGCAGGATAGAAGTCAGTCTAGGTATGAAACACTGCACCCAGAATTACCTGTGAAAGGCAAGGCAAGGCTGCACCAATGGTTTACGTACGCCTCTGTGGAAAACACAACCATCCTGGAAACTGAAGTAAGTCTTCTAGGCTCCATCATTGTCAGACACTTTAACATAACCCATAGAAAAACTTTGAAAAGCTACAGAAAAATAAGCCAACAAACAACAGATAAAGGCAACTAAGTATTATACAAATAATTAGCATAAGTGGAAATTCTTCTGGCTTTACTAGTACAATTCTTTGGGTTATCCCTCCAGAGATATAAAAAAATGAGTGGTTAAATATTTTGTGACTTGAGTGTGAGAGAAAATGACATCACTGAGTACAGTCACACAAACATTGACCCCAATTCAAGGTAACACCTATCACTGACATGCACATTTGGTCCCTTACTAAAATACGAAGAGGCCACGTTACAAACTATGTTTGTGTATCTTCTAACTCCAGAAGAGGCAAAAACCATGAAGATATATTAGAACACCAACAGTACAGGAGAATGACAAGTCTTCTTTCTATGCAACTCCATACTCTCTTACATATGGAATCTGTAACTGTGCTGGAAGCATATCAAATCCAAGTCCACATTTAAATAGAAAAGGTATATGCACAAACAAAAATAAAATGTAAAATTTCTGGTGGGGTCCTCCTGGTCCCAGGAGGGGGACCTTGCTTTTTCTCTTATTCTGACCAGTGGCTGAGTACAGCTGTGTAAGTTAGAAGAGTTAATGACAAACAGAGTCATGAGCTCCTCCGCCACTGTGTTAGTTATTGATGGGGTTGGTAAAATGGAAGACGGAAGGGTTCTGCAGAGAGATACCTAGGGAGCCCACAGCCACAGCCCTCCAAACTGGGGAGTCTTCTGTGGCTGCAGAAGCAGCGACTCCAACTCCCACCTGCTGGAGTCAGGAATGGAGAAAAAAGAGAAAAAAAGGAAAATCAGGCAGAGCCACTTTCCTCAAACTAGCTAGGGCTCCAGGTGGTCTGTGGTGGCAGCAGTGGCAAAAGCCAGTCAGGCTCCACCTGGCAAGGCAAAGGGGCAACAGAAGTGGGAGATACGGTGTGGAGCACAGGTCAGGCCAGGCGGAGCGTGCTTCACTTGCTTATGCAGGCATTCACCTTGGAGGACCAAAAAAGGGTTTTTCAGGTCCTCTCCAGTGAATATATGCACACCCTACTATTTACTATGCTTTATGGCCAGTGGCCTGGCCATCTTGGGTGATATGCCTAGCATTCACTGGGAACATTATGTAGGCAATATTCTACTAAATTCCACAAATTTAAGTCTTCTGAAGAACCCAACTTCCTCTAAGGGCTGAGGGACTGCAGAGCTAGAACAAGACAAACAGAGACGGGCTGCCAGCTAACTCTCCCTGTTCCACCTGCACATTCACTTACTCCTGCATACAGTATGTGTGCTACCCTGCCGTCACAGAAAGAAGTCATTCACACAAGGAATCTCCTGTGCACAGAAGCCTGGACAAAGCCGATGCAACCTGCATCAATGAATGGAAGCTGTCCCTCTTTATCTACCCGCTGTTGGAGCAATGTGCTGGACCTCAGCTTGACGAGGATGACGGTATAGAGTTTTCACTCATTTTGTTCAGCTTTCCAAGGAATGCATGTATAAAAGTCATCATTGATCCACGCACAGTCTTTGTACCTGCAAAGACGGGATAACAGGATTTTGGGAAATGGACATTTACCATCCTGAGGGATCCGCCAGCACGTGGAGAGGCCCACGCCACACGTGCCACACATGGCCTGGGGCTCCCTGCCATCTCCAGGAATCTCCCATGACAAAGATCATCCATCACAGCCTCTGGCCTTCTTCCATGCCAGACCATCTAGGAATTAGAAGCAAAACAGGTATGCTTGAGAAAGGGAAGCAGGTACACAGGTCTCAAGGGCCATATCATTCATTCCGCTGTGGTTCATCCTGTATCTACTTCCCACAAGCTACTACAGAAGGAACCAGAAGTACTATAATTGGTGGGTGTGGTCTGGTTGAGTAACAACTAAGTTTTGCTGGCAGCCATAAATGACAAGATACAAACAAACCCACTGCTTCAGGCAATTTAAAAAAAACTACAAGCCTCTGTAGCTCTGCATTGCTTGTGGCTAAGGACTGGTATTCCAAGAACTTTTGCCAGTAATCAAAGAACACATTTAAAGGCTTACTGATCCGAGATTGGGCAGAAAAGCAGAATTAAGACCTGGGAACTTAATCTGTGCTGCAAACCACAGGAAGTAGAATTTATAGAGAAGAAAAATGCTCTGTTGAAGAAACAAATTAATCTCTTGAGAGAAATCCTTGCACTTAGAACCTGAATGATGGTTTCATGGAAACTCTACATGGCATGAATGAGGCTTCCAGCATAAGAGAAAAGTTGGCTTGTGAATATCTGCTGGGCATAAAGAGTCTAATGGGAACCTTGCAGATATGGAAAATTACCCAACACTGCCTTAATACTGGACCCAAGTCCACATGAGATACTCTAATTTTGTGTTCTTCCTGCCACACAACACCTGGGCTGTGAATCCTGCAATAAGATTTAGATAGAAAACTGCCTTTGCCCTTAGGGAGGAGGTCACCACTACTCCAAACCTGACTTCTAATATCCTTCTTGTTATAGGGCCCCAAAAGATGTATCCACAATGGCCAGACAGTGTCCCCCAAACAATGGAAATTCCAGTAGCACATGGACAGCAGAATGATCCAGACTTAGCACTGCAGAGAGTACAAATACAACTACAAGGACACAAAATGTCTTAAAAAGGCCTCCTGGAAAAGTTTCCAGATCACTGAGATTAGTGCAGGACGAAGAGACTAACACCAGACTCAATATGTAGTAGAGAACAGGGCCACCTGTGTACATAAATATATTTTGGTTTTGCTGCTGTTTACTTGAGCTACCATCCATACCACTGTTAAATCACCACACGTCATATTTGGATAACCACAACTTTTTTTTTCTGATATTGACCCAAAAGACTCCAATAAAATGTCCCCTGGAGAAAACATGTGACTGGGGATATAAGAAAGACTGTCAGGAAATAAAAGCAATCTGCTGAAATGCCCTCCCATGTAGATGTCAGATCACATTCCATTCCCAGCACCCCAAGGCCAACGTGGCATTTGTGATGTAAGGTACACACCATGTGAAACAGAATCGCAAATGTCAGTTGACCATCCCTGGGTTAGGGTATCAGGTTAATACATGCAAGGTGCTTTCTTATTCCCACCTGCAGTACTCATCACCAGCCATGGGATCTCCATTTCTCTCTGGGGACACACAAATCACAAATGGAGCCAACCTACAGGGTACTTTCCAGAAAGAAAATCAGGATCAGCCTCCTCCTCACAACTGACTGCCACTGCAGTCAGTGGCACCATGGGCACTAAAAAGTCCTCAGCCATGAAAAAAACATGAGCCAAAGAACAGCAAAGGTGTGGCCTTGGGCTTTCTTCCCAACCACAAGGACCTGTCTACCTCCAGGGGACAAGGGAACCCAGAGTCAGGACTCAAGGACAAATCTGGCCACACAGAGGTGGGTTACTGGCTAACTCTTCTGTGCCACCTGCACGTTCACGTAGTCCTGCAGATCAGCCTCACAGAGAGAAGTCCTTCGCACAAGGAATCTCCTCCACGCAGGAGCGCCAACTGCCCTGTGACTCCCTTTGATCCAAAGCAGACCTGGATGGATGGTTTACTGTGACCCGCATCAACAAATGAAAGTTGTCCCTCCCTCTCTAGCCCCTGTTGGAGCAGTGTGCTGGACCTCAGTTCAATAAAGATGACGGTATAGAGTTTTCACTCATTTTGTTCAGCTTTCCAAGGAATGCAGGTATTGAGGTCATCATCGATCCACACACAGTCTTTATCTCTGCAAAGAAGGAACATCAGGGGCTTTTGGAAAATGGACATTTACCAACCTGAGGGATCCACCAGCATCCAAAGGAGACCACATTCCACATGTCAAGGGGCTCCCTGCCATCTCTAGGGATCTCCCAAGATGAAGACTGTCCCTCATGGCCACTGGCCTTCCTTCCATGGCCATAACACCTGGGAAGTACAGAGGAAAAACAGGTGTGTTTCAGAAAGGCAGGCAGGTACACATATCAAAAGGACCATGCATTTGACTCACTGTGGTGTATCCCATATGCACTTCCCACAGGCTACTCCTCTTTTGAGATGGGTATATGGGTCCACCCAGGAACGAACATACCAGGCATGTGTTAATTTTGAAGGTACCATCAAGCTACAGAACCCAAAGTGTAAGAACTCTTTCAACACCACCCATTTGCCACCACTGACTCAAAAGCCCTTCTCTTCATCATCAGAGAAGACACAGACCACAGGGCTATTTAAATGAGGAGAGTTTTGGGGAAAAACTCTCCTAGCACAAAAGGCAATTTTCCTTCCGTCTTGAAGAATTTTCACCCTAGGCTGCTTTAACGCTTTTCACGTTGAGAAAAACATTCAGTAACAACTCAAAGTCTACCCCAGCGTCTTCCTTACAGGTCCAGCTCAGGGACCCCAAGGAGCACCAGACACACTGAATCCCACAGGGCTTCTGAGGCACTGTGGCCGAGAGCACCATACTTTTAAGGCACTTGCCTGTGAACATGGCTATGCAGTTCAAAACCTACGCATCACTGCCTGTGGACGCTACATAGCCCCGTCCTATAACAAGAAGACTATTTAACAAAGAAGACTGTTGGGAAGAATTAGGAGGAATGAGAATAGCCTAACATCATGAGCTACTAAGGTATTTAAGCACAGAGACCATCCTGGACCACATTTCCGAGTAGAGGTCACCAGGATATGGGAAGACACTCTCTCATAATTAGGCACGCTGGCTGCATTGAGGTACCTGAGGGGTTCAGAGGCAAAGTATTCCCAACCTAGGATAGGTAGAAACCCTGGGTGGATATAAGCTGAAATATCTGAGGGATACAAGCATCTCTTTGGAGGGTGTGAACACAGACCTTCCAAACCAAGTCAGTCTGATGAGTTGCAGGAGGATGTGGACCTGCAATCACATTCCTGACCCAGCACCCTGAGGTCATGATGAAATAAAACACAGGTACCCTGCAATGCCCAAAAGAGGCTCACAGTCATTACTCCACAACCCACACGGAATGCTGTCCAGTAAATGAACATGCAGACTCTTCCCTTCCCACTGCCGGGACCCCTCAGGGCTGCGAGACTTCGGTTTCCTGCTATGGACATACAAGTTCAACATGGATACCCTCTCCGGGCTCCTCTTCAGAAAGCAAATTAGCATCACCATCATCCTGAGGACTGCCTGCCCCCAATGCTACCCAAACACCATGGGAACTCCCAAGTCTCCAAATGAGGATGAAAGTGCACTGTAGAAGTACCCAGGAGTATTTTGCTGTCTTCCTCTGGGGAGTGCAAGAGCCAAGGGGTGTGAATCAAGAACACACGTAGCAGCACAGAGGGAAGTGCTTCCACCAAGCCGTGGCTCAACCACAGAAGTCCAAAATGCCCAGCTACTCCACTTCCTGCAAAGATGACCCTGTCCCAAGCATTGCTGCAGCCCATGTCAACACACGGGATTTTGTCCCTCTCTCTAGCCTATGATGAGCAGTGTGCTGGACCTCAGTTCGATGAGGATGACGGTATAGAGTTTTCACTCATTTTGTTCAGCTTTCCAAAGAATGTATATATGGAAGTCATCATCGATCCACACACTCTTTGCCTGCACAAATGAGGAAACTCAGTATGCTTTAGGAAGGAATCACTTACATTCAGGAGGGATCCGACAGGCTCTGAAGGGGCCTACACTACATATGTCCCGGGACTTCCTGTCGTCTCCAAGGATCGCATAAGATGACAATGATCCGTTGCTGACACAAGACTGCTGTTTACGCCAACACCACCTGCAAAGTGCAGAGGAAACACAGGTGTGCTTCAGAAAGGCAGACCTGTGCAGAGGTCATGGTGGCCATGTTATCCAGTCCCCTGCAATATAACTGCCATCTGCCTATCTCTGGCCTCCCCTGCTCATGGACGTAGAAATGCACGGATATGGAGAAGCTCGTCTGGGGGCTGGGTGCCTTCAGAGCACAACATCCCACTGAAGAACATGTTTACCTTTCTTTTCAACATTGTTGCTTCAATATCTGCAATAAGGCACAAAAGCCTTGGGGCCCTGGACCCCTAATGAGGATGGCTTTAACCTACATTGGGTTTAGGATAAGCCAGACACTCCTTGGGTATAGGAAAAAACTTGGAGCAGGAACTCACTTGTTCATGCAATATGCATGAACCCCAAACACACGGGATACAAAAGGGCACAGGAACAGAATCTATGCCCGGTGACCAAAACTCTAACTTCCTCAACCAAGGACAAAGTCAGCCAACAAATGATAAAGATGTGACCTTGACCTCTCCTCCCAACCAAATAGATCTGTCTTCTGTCAGGGGACCTGGGAACCCATAGCAAGGACTCAAGGATGCACTGTCGATCATAGACAGGCTACCAGCTAACACTTCCTAGGACGTATGGACATCAACCTAGTGCTGCAGACAGTGCACGTTACTCACCCTCACTGACAAAGTCCTTCAAACAAGAAATTTCCTATACATGGGAGTCACCACTCTCCCGTGACCCCATTCACCCATAAAAAAAGCCCATACTAAGCCTGAACAGACCCCTGGGTGTAACCCATGTCAACAAACAGATGTTGGCCCTCTCTGTCTAGCCCCTGTTGGAGTAATGTGCTGGACCTCAGTTCGACGAGGATGACGGTATAGAGTTTTCACTCATTTTGTTCAGCTTTCCAAGGAATGTACATATGGAAGTCATCATCGATCCACGCACATTATTCATGCCTGCAAATGATGAAACTCAGGGTGCTTTGGGATGCAATCACTTACATTCGGTAGGGTTTTGACAGGCTCTGAAGGAGTTCACACCATATTTTCTAGGGACTTCCTACCATCTCCAAGGATCGTACGAGATGATAATCATTTCTCATGACATAAACTGCTTTTACACCAACACCACCTGTGAAGTACAGAAGAAACACAGGTGAGTTTCAGAAAGGCAGACAGCTGAATAGGGCATGAGGGCCATGTCATCTAGCCCCCTGTGATATAGATATATCTGCCTGTCCATCGCCTCCTGTTCATGGGGCAGAAATGCAAGGACACGGGGATGCTCATCTTGTGGCTGGGGTTGTTAGAGTGTACAATGCTGTTAAAGAGCACTGACGTTGACCAGCCCTCTCAACATGACGGGTTCAACACCTACAGTGCAGCTTACAAAACACTAGGGGCCCTAAACCCCTAGAGGGGATGCTGCAGACCTCAGTCAGGTTAGAGTTAACCCAGAGACTCGCCTGACAGCCCCAGCTTGGAGCAGGCGCCCACCTAATCAGACAATACACAAATCCTCATCACATATGGGATATGACATGGGCATGCAGGCAAAGAGGCTATTTGGAAGTACAATGTTCTCCCCCAAGGACAGAATGAGCTAACAATGAGAATGGTGTGGCCTTGTGCTCTCCCCACAACTTCAGGAATCCAGAGCTGGGACTAAAGGACAGACATGGCCACTAAGAGGCAAGCTACCCACAAACTCTCCCCATGCAACCTGCCATTCACCTAGCTTTTCAGACAGCGCATGAGTTATCCCATCCTGGGAGACAGAAGCCCTTCAACCAAGGACTTTCCTGTGCATGGGAGCTCCCACTTCCCTAGGACTTCCATTTGCCAAAAGATACCCCATCCTAAGTCTGGATGGACACCATCGTGCAACCCGTATCAACAAACAGATGTTGGCCCTCTCTGTCTAGCCCCTGTTGGAGTAATGTGCAGGACCTCAGTTCGACGAGGATGACGGTATAGAGTTTTCACTCATTTTGTTCAGCTTTCCAAGGAATGTATATATGGAAGTCATCATCGATCCATGTACATTATTCATGCCTGAAAATGAGGAAACTCAGGGTGCTTTGAAATGGAATCACTTACATTCAGGAGGGTTTCAACAGCCCCTGAAGGAGTCCATACCATGTGTGGCCAGGGGCTTCCTGCCATCTCCAAGGATCGCACAAGATGATAATCATTCCTCATGACACGAGCCTGCCTTTTATGCCAACACCACCTGTGAAGTGCAGACGAAACACAGGTGAGCTTCAGAAAGGCAGAAAGGTGCACATGTCACGAGGGCCATGTCATCCAGCCCCCTGCGATACATCTATTATCTGCCTGTCTATGGCCTCCTCTTGTTCATGGGTGCAGAAACGCATGGACACAGAGATGCTTCCTTCGGGCTCGAGGGCCCTTAGAGTGCACCATCCCGCTAAAGAGCACTGACGTTGAGGATGCCTCTCAACATCGTTGCTTCAACACCTGCAAAGCAGCTTATAAAGCATTGGAGCCCTGAACCCCTAGAGAGGAAGCCACTGACTTAAACCAGGTTTAGAAAAACCCAGAGATTTGATGCCTGATGGCCCCAGCTTGGAGAGTACCCCGACCTATTCACGCAATACAGAAATTCTCATAACATACTGGATAGGACATGGGCATGAGGGAAGGAGGCTTTGCTGGGTTCCTGGAGCTCCAATGTTCTCCATCAAGGACAAAATGAGCTAACCAATGAGAATGGTGTAGCCTTCTGCTCTCCCACCAACCCGAGGATCTGTCTTCCTCTGGGAATCCAGAGCTTGGACTCAAGGACAGACTTGGCCATCATAGGCAGGCTACCCACAAACTCTCCCCATGCAACTTGCCATTCACACAGCTTTTCAGACAGTGCATGAGTTATCCCACCCTGGGAGACAGAAGTCCTTCAACCAAGGAGTTTCCAGTGCATGGGAGCTCCCACTTCCCTGTGACTTCCATTTGCCCAAAGAGACCCCATCCTAAGCCTGGATGGATCCCTTGGTGTAACCGATACCAACAAAGAGATGTTGGCCCTCTCTGTCTAGCCCCTGTTTGGAGTAATGTGCTGGACCTCAGTTCGATGAGGATGATGGTATAGAGTTTTCACGCATTTTGTTCAGCTTTCCAAGGAATGTATAGATGGAAGTCATCATCGATTCACACTCGGGTTTCATCCCTGCAAATGAGGAAACTCAGGATGCTTTCAGATGGAATCACTTACATTCAGGAGGGTTTCAACAGCATCTGAAGGAGTCCATGAGATGATAATCATTCCTCATGACACGAGCCTGCCTTTTATGCCAACACCATCTGCGAAATGTATAATAAACACAAGCGTGCTTCAGAAAGGCAGACAGATCCACAAGTCACAAGGGCCATGTCCTCCACACCCTGCAGTACATCTGCTGTCTGCCTGTCTATGGCCTCCCCTGTTTCTGGACACATAAATGCACGGACACAAGGATGCTCATCTGGGGGCTGGGTGCCTTCAGAGCACCTCATCCCACTAAAGAGCATGTTCAGCATCCTTCTCAACATTGTAGCTTCAATACGAGCAATGGTGTTTACAAAAACCTTAGGGTCCTGGACCCCTGATGAGGAAGGTTTTAACCTGTGTCAGTTTTAAGATAAACCAGAGACTTCCTGGGTATCAGAACCAGCTTGGAGCAGGAACTCACTTGTTAATACAATGTACATGTCCCCATAACACATGGGATACAACACAGGCACACAGGCTACATAGACTATTCCCAGTGACCAAAACTCTAATGTCTTCAACGGAGGACAAAGCCAATGAATAACAAACATGTGGCCCTGTACTCTCCTCCCTACCAGACAGATCTGTCTTCCTCTGGGGACCTGGGAAGCCACGGCGAGGTCTCAGGGACAAACTGGCAATCACAGGCAGGCTACCAGCTAACTCTTCCTAGACCACATGGACATTCACCTAGTCCTGCAGACAGTGCACGTGTTACCCACCCTCCCTGACACAGTCTTTCAACCAAGTAATTTCCTGTACGTGAGAGCCACCAATCTCCTGTGACCCTGAATCACCCATAGATCACCTGAGCTAAGCCTCAACAGACCCTTTGGTGTAACCCATGTCAACAATAGATGTTGGCCCTCTCTGTCTAGCCCCTGTTGGAGTAACGTGCAGGACCTCAGTTCGACGAGGATGACGGTATAGAGTTTTCACTCATTTTGTTCAGCTTTCCAAGGAATGTATATATGGAAGTCATCATCGATCCATGTACATTATTCATGCCTGAAAATGAGGAAACTCAGGGTGCTTTGAAATGCAATCACTTACACTCAGGAGGGTTTCAACAGCCTCTGAAGGAGTCCACACCATGTGTGGCCACGGGCTTCCAGCCAATGCCAAGGATTGTACAAGATGACAATCATTCCTCATGACACACACCTGCCTTTTACACCAACAACACCTGTGAAATGTATAAGAAACACAGGCGAGCTTCAGAAAGGCAGACAGGTCCCCAGGTCACAAAGGCCATGTCGTCCAGCCCTCTGCGATATATCTGCTATCTCCCTGTCTATGGCCTCCCCTGTTCACACACCTAGAACTGCACGGACACGGGGATGCTTGTCTCAGGCCCGAGGGCCCTCAGAAGTGCTCCATCCTGCTAAGGAGCACTGACATTCGGCATTCCTCTCAACATCCTTGTTTAAACACCTTCAATGCCATGGACAAAACCCTTGGGGCTCTGAACCCCTAAAGAGGAAGCCACTGACTAAATGAGGTTTGGGATCACCCAGAGACTCATTGCCTGACAGCCCCAGCTTGGAGCAGAAGCTCTCCTACTCATGCAAAACACACATCCTCATAACATATGGGATACAACACAGGCATGCAGGCAAAGAGGCTGTGCTGGGTGCCTGGAACTACAGTGTTCTCTGCCAAGGACAAAATGAGCTAACCAATGACCCCATTCTAAACCTGATGGACCCCTTGGTGCAACCCGTAACAACAAACAGATGTTGGCCCTCTCTGTCTAGCCCATTACAATAACGTGCAGGACCTCAGTTCGACGAGGATGACGGTATAGAGTTTTCACTCATTTTGTTCAGCTTTCCAAGGAATGTATATATGGAAGTCATCATCGATCCATGCACAATCTTTGTTTTTGCAAAGGAGGAAAATCGGGGTGCACTGGGAAGGAATTGCTTACATTCAGGAGGCATCCAGCAGCCTCCAAAGAAGCCTACACCGTGTGTGTCCAGGAGGTTACTTGCCACTCAGAGGATAACAAGAGATGATGATTATCCCTCACCAACACGGACCTGGCCAATTCATCACTTCCACCTGTGAGGTGAAGAGAAAACACGGGCATGCTTGAGAAAATCAGACAAGTGTACAGTACACAAAGGCCATGTCCTCTGGTCCCGGCAGTCTACCTGGTTTTGGCCCAACCCTGGCTTTTCCTGATTTTGGACACAGAAACTCATTGACAAGGGTTCGGGTGCTGTTGTGCATCATCATGCTAAAGAGCACTGACACTGGCCGACTGTGGTGGCTCATGCCTGTAGTCACAGCACTTTGGGAGGCCAAGATGGGTGCATCACCTGAAATCAGGAGTTCGAGACCAGCCTGGCCAACATAGCGAAACCATGTCTCTACTAAAAGTGCAAAAATTAGCTGGGCGTGGTGGTACGCGCCTATAATACCAGCTACTCAGGAGGCAGAGGCAGGAGAATTGCTTGAACCCAGGAGGAAGAGGTTGCAGTGAGCTCAGATGTTGTCATTGCATCCCAGCCAGGTAAGACAGTGAGAAGCTGTCTCAAAAAAAAAGAAAAAAAAAGAGCACTGATATTGAGCATCCCTCTCAACATCCTTGCATTGACACATATAATGTCACTCACAAAAGCTACAGGGGCATGTAATCTTAATGAGGAAGTCACTGACCCATACTGGGTGGGTTATGCTAGAGACTCCTTGCCTATCAGATGAGCTTGGATGGGAGCTTGTGTGCTGCTGCCATATGCATGTACTCACAACGCACGGGACACAACACGGGCACGCTTGCCTGAAAGCTATGCCAGGTGACCGGAACTCTACTGTCCTCAACCAAGAATGAAAAAAAAGGCAAAAATAATGCCCCTTTCCTCTCTTCGCAAGCACAATCACCTGTCTTCCTTCAGGGGTTGTGGGAATGCAGAGCCAGGAGTCAAGGACAATCTTGACCACCCAGAGGCAGGCTCCAGGCTAACTCTCCCTGAGCAGTCTACACATTCACCTAGTCCTACGAACTGCATGGGTGCTACACTGGTCTTGTAGACAGAAGTCCTTCAAACAAGGGATCTCCTGTGCACACAGCCTCAACTCCCCTGTGACTCTTCCACCCAGACAAAATCCCTTCCTAAGCACGGACAAACCCTTCATGCAATGGACATAAAAAAATGACAGTTGTCCCTCTCTAGCTCCTGGTGGACCTCAGTTTGACACAGACGATAGTTTACTGAGTTCCCACTCATTTTGTTAAGCTTTCCAAGGAATGCATCATTGCATGCTGTATAGAAGTCATCACTGATCCATGCATAGTATTCATTCCTGTAAAGGAAGAACATTAGGGTCTTTTGAGAAATGAACATTTACCGTATGAAGGAACGCACCAGCACCTGAAGGAGCCCATGCCACACATGTCCAGGGGCTCCCTGCCATCTCAAGGGATCTCCCAAGATGAAATTCATCCTTGCAGCCTCTTTCTTTGCAAGCCCATGCCACCTGGGAAGTACAGAGGAAAAACAGGTGAGCTTGATAAAGGCAGGCAGGTACACAGTTTGCAAGGGCCATGCCATTCATCCTGCTATGTTGTATTCGTATCTACCTCCCATGGGTGACTTCTCTTCGGGGATGTGTGCATGGATATACCCAGGCATGAAGGTATAAGGGAGGCATGCATTCCAAGGGCACCGTCAAACTAGAAAACACTAAATGTGAAGAACTTTCTCAACACCACGCTTTCACCACTCCTTACTCAAAAGGCATTCTCTTGACATCAGAGAAGATAAAGGCGATGAGGATATTTCAGTAGGGACAGCTGCAGGGAAAAAGTGTTTCAGCCAAAGAGCAACTTTCCTTCAGCCTTAAACTATTTCTACCCCTGGGCTCTTTCCACACACTTTGCACTGAGAAACACATTCAATCACAAATCAACCTCCACCTCTGAGCCTTTCTCACAGGTTCAGCTCAGGGACCCAGAAAAGGATCAGACATGCTGAATCCTACAGGGCTTCTAGGTGCTGTCCCCAAGAACACCATACATCTTAAGGCACTTGCCTGTGAACACGGCCACAGAGGACAAAGCCACTCCACCCCTGGCCTGTGGATGATAGCCCTCATACAACTTGATGACTATTTCATAAAGAAGACTGTTGTGAAGAATTAAGGAGGAATTTCAAAATAACCTAACATCATAAGACAATGGAAAATTTAAGCGCAGAGACCTTGATGGGTCACTTTTCTGAGTAGAAGTCACCACAACATGGGAAGTGTTACAACCTCAACTGCACTGAAGTGCCTGAGCAGTTCAGATGCAAACAGCATCAGCTCTCCTGAGCAAACCTTCTCCTGATCAATACAGGGGAACAGTGAGCAACAAGCCCTTACAGCAGTATGTACGACCTTGGACGGGCAGAAACCCTGGGCCAGTATCAGCTCAAATGCCTAACAGAGAGAAAAGTGTCCCACAGAGGGTCCTTAACACAGACCTTTCAAACCAAATCAGTCTGTGAAGTTGCAGAAGGCACATGGGCTTGCAACTAGTCCACTGTGCCCGGATCGATGGTAACTTCCATATATACATTCCTTGGAAAGCTGAACAAAAGGAGTGAAAACTCTGTACCATCATCCTCATTGCACTGAGGTCCAGCACAATGCTACATAGGAGGGAGGGTGGTGAGGGGCAACATCCCTTTGTTGACATGGTGTTCAACCCTGCTTAAGATGTGGTCCTCTTGGGGTGAATGCGAGTGTCTGGGCTTTTCGTACTTCTGTAGCTCAGAGACAGCCTGGTTGAAAGAATTTCCTCTGACAGGGTGGGGTAGCACACTGCCAGTCTGCAGAACTTGAAGCTGCAGGTGGCACAGGAAGCAGCAGCCACCCTGTCCGTGGCTGTGTGTCCCTGATTCCCACCCTTTGGTTTCATTGCTCCCTTCCCACCACGGGGATACTATTGCTTTCCTGTGGGTTGAGAGCACAACGTCACTTCCGGATATTTCTTCAGTGCACTTTCATCTTCAGTGGAGGACGTGGGAGTTCCCATGGTGTTTGGGTCGCATTAGGGGCAGGCAGTCATGAGGTGGGTGGCCATGCTGATTTGCTTTCTACAGAGGAGCCCAGGGAGGATATCCACATTGAACTCATATATCCATAGGGAGAAACTCAAGTCCTGTGGTCCCTGTAGGGCACTGGTGGTGGGAAGGTGAGAAGGTTGCACCTGCATGTACCAAATGGCACATGCCATGTAGTTCATGGAACAGTGACAGTGTCCCAGCATCCTAAGATCATCTTGAAATGGACCATGGGCATCCTGCAATGCCCAAAAGAGGCTCACTGTCACTGTTCCACGAACCACATGGACTCACCGTCACTGTTCCACGAACCACATGGACTCACCGTCACTGTTCCACGAACCACATGGACTCACCGTCACTGCTCCACCAACCACATGGACTCACCGTCACTGCTCCACCAACCACATGGACTCACCGTCACTGCTCCACCAACCACATGGACTCACTGTCACTGCTCCACGAACCACATGAACTCACCGTCACTGCTCCACCAACCACATGGACACAGAAATGCACAGACACAGGGATGCACATCTGGATCCTGGGAGCCCATGGAGTACAGAATCCCACTAGAGGGAACTGACATTGACCACCCCATTAAATACCCGTACACACACACAATGCTGATCACAAAAGCCTCAAGGACCTGCACCCCTAATGAGGAAGTCTTTGACTTACACCGGATTTGAGATAAGCCAGAGACTGATTGGTTATCAGCCACAGCTTAGGACAGGAGGCCAACTGTATATCCTCACAACACACAGTATACAACAGAGGCAGCCTGGCTTGGATGCAATACCTGGTGACCAGAAATCCATGTACATACACAAGGAAAAAAATGAACCAATGAGGCAAAAGTGTGGCCTTGTGCTCTCTTCCCAACTACACAAACTTACCTTCCTCCTGATGATGAGAGAACCAAGAGCTAGGACTCAAGGACAAACTAGGGGACGCAGAGCTTAAGTCCTTTGTGCCACTTGCACATTCACCTAGTCCTTAAGACGGTGTGTGTGCTACCCCGGACTCACAGAGAGAAGGGGTCACACAAGGGATCTCCTGTGCATGGGAACTCCTACTCCCCTGGGGTCTTCCCTTGCCAAAAGAGAACCCCGTCCTAAGCCTGGACAGACCTGTTGATTCAACCCACATCAATGAAGGAGAGATGGACCTCAGTCTCCAGCCTCTGTTGAAGCAGTGTGCTGGGCCTCAGTTTGAAGAGGATGACAGTATAGTGTTTTCACTGATTTTGTTTAGTTTTCCGAAGAATCCGTGTATGCAAGTCTTCATTGATCCATGCACAGTCCTCATACCAGCAAAAATGGAACATTGGGGCATTTGAAAAGCCAACACTTACCATCCTGAGCTATCCACCAGCTTGAAGGAGACCATGCCACACATATTTAGGAGTACTTCACCATCACCAGGGATCTCCCAAGATCAAGATCATCCCTTGTGGTCACTGGCCTTCCTTCCATACCAACGCCACCTAAGAAGTATAGGAGCAACACAGGTGTGCTTGAGAAAGGCAGTCAGGTGTGTAGGTGGCAAGGGTCATGTCATTTGTCCTGCCGTGGAGTATTCTGTATCTACCTCCCATGGGCTACTCCTCTTTCTGCACATGTGCATGGGTTTGCCCAGACATGAAGGGATAAGGCAGGCATGAATTTTGAAGGTACCATCAAACTAAGTGTGAAGAACACTCTCAACACCAACTGCTGCCATACCTCTGACTCGAAAGCCCTTCTCGTGGCCAGCAGAGAAGATAAAGGCCATGAAGATACTTTAATGAGGACAGTGGGTCTCAGAAATTTGAAAGACACTTTTGCATGTAGGGCAGAGAAATGCTTACCGTCCTGAGCCACCCACCAGCACGGGGTGCACTGCAGACGTCAGGACACAATGAATCAAGGACCCAACGCTGCCTCTGTTGGTCAGAAGAATCGCCCATCTTCCTTGCCAGCAAGCAGCAGGGCTCTCATGGCAGCTGCTTCTGAGAAGTGTAAAGAAATCAAAGGGACGCATGAGAAACGGTCCAAGTCCACTGGTCACCACTGGACACCCCAGGTGGTGGAACCTAGGTGGAAGTTGTCCGTCACTCCTACAGTCCCTGGGGGAGGCAACATGCTGGACCTCAGTTCCGATGAGAGTGACAGTATGAGTTCTCACTCATTTTGTTCAGCTTTTCCAAGGAATGTTTTTTTTAGAGCACTCATCATCGATCCAAGCACATTTGAAGAGGCAGGACGTTTGACCACAGGCTGGGCAATGCCTGTCTTGGAAATATGAAAGATGCCCTCACTCAGCACAAGGGCAGAGGAATCCTTACCATCCTGAGCCACACGCCAGCATGAGGTGCACCACGGATGCCAGGCCACACTGACTCCACGACTTCATGGGGACTCTGTTGCTCAGAAGAATCAACCATCTGTTGTGGCAGCACATGGTGGGCCTCTCAAGGCAACTGCCCCTGAGAAGTGCAGAGATAACACATGCACGCTTGAGGAACTAGCCCAGGTCCACCGGTCACATCAATGTCAGTCTTTCCCAAGGGGCAACTCATACACCTCTTCACCTTGTCCCTCACTCCTACAGTCCCCGGGGGAGGCAATGTGCTGGACCTCAGTTCCGATGAGAGCGACGGTATGAGTTTTCACTCATTTTGTTCAGCTTTTCCAAGGAATGTTTTTTGGAGGGCTCATCATTGATCCAGGCACAAGAGGTAACCGCTTCCTATGCAAAAGGCAGCTTTCCTTTGGCCTTGAAGCATTTTCACCCCCAGGGTCCTTCATACTCTTCCCATCCAGAAACGTAAAAATCACAAATCGACCTCCATGTGCACGACACAGGTGCAGCTCAGGGACCCAAAGAGCACCAAGCATTCTGAATCCTACAAGTCTTCTGAGGTGCTGCAGCTAAGAAAACCAGATCTATGGCACTTGCCTGTGAACATAACATCAGCGTCCAAAACCTATCCAGCATTGGCTTGCAGATGGTAGCCCTGTCCTGCCACCCAACTACTGTTTCCCAAAGAACACTGCTGTGAAAAATTAGGAGGAATTTGAAAAAACACTAGTATCAGGAGACACTGAAGTATATAAGCAAAGACGCCTTCCCAGTTCGCATTTCCAAGCATAAGTCACCACAACATGGGGAGTGACCTACTCTTATAAACCCCAACTGCATCAAGGTGTCTGTCAGAGGCAAATGACATCAGGCTTCCCAAGCAAACCATCATTTGAAGATTGTGAAATGGACTGTGGGCACCCTACCATGTGCAAAAGAGGCTCACAGTCATCACTCCATGACCCACATGGAATGATGCCCAGTAAAGGCATGTACAGACCTCTCCCTTTCCCATAGCCAGTACCCTTCTGGGGCCATGGAATTTGGAATTCCTCCTACAGATGAACAAGTTCACTGGGGAAAGCTTCTCCAGCCTCCTCTCCAGAGAACAAATCAGGATTGCCAGCAGCTTCAAGATGGGCAGCCCTTGATGCCACCCAAACACTATAGGAGGTCCCATGTCCTCGGCCACAAATTAAAGAGACTTGAAAAAGTGCCCAGGAATGGTACTGTGCTATCTCCTCATGTGGAAGAAACTGTCTTCCTCTAGGGGTGATGAAGCCAAGAGGTATGAATCAAGGACAGACCCAGTCATGCAGTGGTGGGCAACTGGATACTGCCTTCCTGTGGCACCTTTAAGTCCACCTTCTCCTGTGCACTGGCAGGATGTTACCCCACCTTCTCATGGGGAAGTCCTTCAACAAACACCTCTCTCAGCTAGGGCAGTACAAAATACCCAGCTACTCAACTTCACTGAAAGACAACTACATCCTAAGCCTCAGTGCAGCCCATGACAACAAACAGATTTTGTCCCGCTAAATAAAGCCCCTGATGGAGAAGCATGCCAGACCTCAGGTCGATGAGGATGATGGTATTGAGTTTTCACTCATTTTGTTCACCTTTCCAAAAAAATGTATATATGGAAGTCACCATCAATCCACATAGTCTTTGTCCCTGCAAGTGAGGAATATCAGAGTGTTTTCAGAAGAAATCACTTACATTCAGGAGAAATCCAAAAGGCTCTGAAGGAGCCCACACCATGTACATCCAGGGGCCTCATGGCATCTCCAAACATCACACAAGATGAAGACCATCCTTCTTGAACAAGGGCCTTCCTTCCAAGCCAATGCGACCAGGGAGGCGCAGATGAAATGAGTGTGCTTCAGAAAGACAGACAGGTACACAGGTCAGGAGGGCCGTGTCATCCAGACGTCTGTGGTACATATGAAAATTGCCTATGGCTTCACGTTTGTGTACACACAAACACATATACAGAGTTGCACATGTGGATTCTGGGTACCCTGGGAGTGCATCACACCACTAACGAGCATGGACATAGATAGAGCATCCCCATCAACACCATGTTTTCAACATGTGCAATGTGCATACAAAAGACTTGGTGCCCTGGATGCTGAAAGCTGAAAACTTGTACAACTACTCAGTTCAGGATAAGATAGAGATGACATGCCAGTCAGCCCAAGACTGGAACAAAAACAAAAACATTCATGAAATACGTACTTCCTCAACATGAAAAAAATAATGTTGGTGAAAGGTTATGATTGGTGACCAGAACCTGACTAAAAATCAATTGCACAACAAAAAACAAAACCTAACATTGAGGGTAAAACCAACTTCATACCAAGAAGAATAAGACTAGAAAAAGTAATGGGCTACCAAAGTATGATTCACAAATACGCTTATGATAAAGAATTTTACAACGGTCAAAATGTCCACAAAAATTGAATGTCAATGCCTGGGTAGTGAAGTCTAACGTAAGGTGAAAAAGTTACCCAGGAACCACAATGAGCCAAAGTGGAGGCAACGTGCTGGACCTCAGTTCCGATGAGAGCGACGGTATGAGCTTTCACTCATTTTGTTCAGCTTTTCCAAGGAATGTTTTTTTGTAGGACTCATCATCGATCCAAGCACATTTGAGGAGGCAGGACATTTGACACTGCAGGCTGGGCAGTGGGTGAGCTGATGACCTTAAAGACCTTTGGTACCCTGCAGAACCCAGAGCTGTGCCACTGAGCAATGGGCACAGACCATCCACTCTAGGCCAGAAACTTGCCATGCCATTAGTGGCCTGCTGAGAAACAGCTCCCTGTGGGTGTTAAAAATCCCACAGACACCCTCACTCAGCAAGAGGGGTGAAGGAATGCTTACCATCCTGAGCCACCCACCAGCACCAGGTGCACTGCGGATGCTGGGCCACACCAAAACAAGGACTCCACGTGGCCTTTGTTGCTTGGAGGAATTCACCATCTCTTTTCCAACAGGTGCTGTGCCTCCCACAGCAACTGCCCCTGAGAAGTGTAAAGAAATCAAATGCATTCTTAAGAAATAAGTCCAGGTCCACTGGTCACCACTTCAATACCACGCTTTCCTGTGGAGCAACTTACATGCCTGCTTCTCCTGGGTCTCCAGGCTTGATCTCCATCTCCATGAATGTGCCTGATTATGCCACTCTGAAGCATGTGTGGCTAGAACATACGTGCCCATAGCTGCGTGTATCTGCCTGTGGCTGTGTCACAACAACACAGTGGGTGCTTGTAGTCTGCAGCCTCCAGACCAAGGACTGTGGGAGCCACCCTGACCCTCACACTCACTGTTGTCTGCCCTGAATGACCCTGCTGGCTGAGCTGTCGTCTGCCACAGAAATCCATGGAAAGCCCATCACTGCCAAATGACAGCCCCAGACCACTGATGACATGCCTGCCCACGTGAGCCCTCTATCACCATTTCTCGGGAATACCTTCCTGCCCAGGCCTCTGCTACCATACCATGAGCATCTCACAGCCCAGGAGGTGAAGAAATAACTGCTGGGGTTGTGGCAGGGCCTGTGACCAACCTAGGAAGGAATGGGTTGTGCTGGACCTCAGTTCCGATGAGAGCGACGGTATGAGTTTTCACT